ACTACCTAAAGTTTTTGTTTCAAAATGAAGTGCAAAAACATTTGTACTGAAAAATCAACCAAAAAAATCAATTCGATTGCCATGGTTAACATAAACCTGCGATAATGATAACAAATCGCTGCTAATTTTCTAAAATGGAAAATCCCAAAATACTTTGGAACCGGTTTATGGTAATTTATATGTGCACGGCGGCATTTCTTTTGTATTCTGTTTATTGGACAAGCGTTCAAGCCTAAATACATATTTGCAAACTTTATTTCAAGTGGGTAGACAAATTTAGTACAAAATTAGTTGATCACTGGTTTTAAATTTAGCTCATAATATCAATGTTAAATTAATAATTATAAGATTTTCAACTATATATAAAATTGAAATTACAAATAATCATGCGATCGAAGACAAACACAGAAATAACTGGAGACAGCAATACAGGTATACAATTCGAAATTCAATTTATAATTACGATATCATTAAACTAAATAGTAAACTATACGAGAAATGATCACAAGTTCAAAATAAAAAAAAATAAAAAATGAATGACTGGATACAGCCACACACGGTTCCAGCTCATGCAAGGAACTGTATGCAATAAACACTGAATTGCAAGAGTCATTAGTACAACTCGCGGTGTCCAACACTCCCTATTTAAAGCCCCGTTTACACTAGCGAGTTTTGCGGCGATTTTTGCTGCGATTTTTTCGGCGATTCTGTCCATATTAAATAATGGTAAAGAATTTACTTGTAAAGTTTTATTCAGGATACCAAGATTTTCCTAGACGAATGTCTCTTTTGAAGGATGAGACAAAAGATTTCATATTTCCGAAAATATCGCAGCAAAAATCGCCGCAAAAATCGACAGTGTAAACTGGGCTTAACAATTACACTACAAGGTCGAGTTTTGTATGAGTCAATAGATAGTCGATGAGACGCGTAGCGCCGAATCGACTATTTGACTCATAGAAAACGAGAACAAGTAGTCTAATTGTTTTAGCATAAACCTACTAGCTAATATTAAGGCACTGCCTAAAAGCGAAGCTCCCGATATGCATAGCTAGTGTCACGTGATCGTCTTTCAACCAATGAGAGTGTCCGTTATATCGTCAAAATCCGATAACAAATGATGTTACACAAGGAATGTGAAATATGATTAGCAGAAAGGCGTAAGACTTGAAGTGATAGTCCATTAAAACCAGTTCCCTTTGCCTTCACGTTTTCTAGATATTCCGCAGCAACATTACTAATTTTCTGAAGAAAACAAGAGGATAGTAAATGATTGGAGGGAGGTTGGGTTAGCATTTACAGATGATTGGCCATTGTGTTTTAATATTTTAGATTTGAGCACAACAGGAGCACGCAAGAAATGCTCCTGACGGCCTTAGCAATCTCCATCGGACCCCATTTAGCACAGTGGAGTAGGGGAAGACCCATAAATCGTAGCAGCGTTTGTCGTTGACTTAAAGACTTTCCAAAGTTCCTCAGGGTCGTTTCTATCGTCGTGAATAATTTGATTGTAAAAGTGACTTTCAGACTTTTAACAATCATATAATTAACTCTATTTCTATAGAAAGCGGTAAAGACATTCCATGGAATCAAAAACCAGCTTTGACTTGGTTTCTTACGCTCTCTCTTGTCTTCATAAGCATAAGAATATCTTGGGTTAGCCAAGGAGGAAGGATTTGATGCTTTACCCCATGGTGCACACGATGGTCTGTTGTTATGGCTTTTCCTCTCGCATCTCTCAAAACTGAGAGTTTTAGGCCATAAGGTTATCTTCTCGCGTTAAAAAATATTACATCCTTTCGCTGCGGTCGGTCGTAAAATATTTTTTACTACTCGAAGATAAACTTCTTCGCGCCACTGTGTGATTTCCTCTATGTATATAAAGGTCAAGGTTTCTTCCTAGGTAATAATATATAGACTAATTTGTCTTATTTTTCAAAGCAATTGTTGATTAAGAGAGATGACGGTTGAATTTTTGATTTAAAACGTGTAAAATCCGCCATTAATTGGTTTGCGCTCTATTCGCCGATCTTGTGACGTCACTTACTCAACAGACATCCTCTGAGCAGTAGTAACTAAAAAAACGACTTGCCGAGTATCTAGACTATGGTTAAAAACGAATTATAAAATGAATGTCCGGAGCATTTCACATGTATTTCCTCAGTGTTTTATATACGTTTGCTTGAGTAAGTGACCGTAATAAATGCTCAAAAATGTCCACCCGCCGGAGGAGAATTAGGAAACATTTTGATAATGGCGGACGCAAAGAAAAAGACGTTAACTTCTTCCGAATGTCCAAGCAAAGATCCAGAGTATTTTTCTGTTTATGATCATAACGATTATAATGGCAAGTTCTAACAATTTTATTATTTTTCTTTTCTTAGAACTTTCAAGTTCTAATGAAGGACCTGGTCAAGACAATGGAGGAAGGAGAGACTGCTGGAACAAAGCTTGTCTATTTAAAAGGCTTTTATACCTTTTATTTCAGTTCCATGATGCTTCGCCTGGTCTATTCTCCGGTGTACTTCAAACAACTTGGGCTCAGTTCAACATACACTGGTATATTAAATGGTGCTGGTCCGTTTATTAATGCTTTCGGGGGACTGTTGCTCTGCTACATTGCAGATAAAACAAATAAACATAAAACGATACTTTTAGTTTCTTTATTGGCTAATGTTGCAATTCCTTTGCTTCTGACCTTCCCACAGAATTCTTGTCTTAAAGCTGGATATCCTAAAGCCGCAATGCCAAACATGACAAAGAGCAAAGTAAATCTAGACGAACGGACGGAAAATTTGCGTGAAATAATGGCAGTGAAAAGCCACAATTCGAACTCACAGAATCAATTGGATGTAAAATCACTGCAGCTGCAAAATACAGGATCCACAATTAAGAAAAAGGAATACGGAAAACAGTCAGGAGTTAATAATCGTAATGCTATTCACAGTTCACTTTTAGGAGACTATATTACAGTGAAAGCAAGAAGACCTGCGACAGGATCTTTTCTCCGATCAGATAACGTCAAACATCGTTTCGCAAGCCGAGAACTCAGCACGAAGACGCCATTTAAACTGACACAAAGATCAAAGCCATGCAATCGATACCATTTCCGCAATTCTATAAGGAAAAATACTAAAAAACGACAACTAGTACCTGATAAAGAAACACAAACAAAAAACGATCAACGACAATTCATTGCGAAGAAACGAGATAACGACGCAGCATTTACACCCATAAAAAGAGGGAATATGCGAGAAAAAAGAAGCAACAAGCCAATTGATGATGATCACGGTGATGGCAACAGTGATGATTATGGTGATGTTGATACTGATAAGACCAATCTATTTCTTCTTCTATTGGCCATTATCGTTGTCGGTCAATTTGTAAGTAGTCCMAGTCGCAACCTTGCAGATACAGCAACACTGTTTTCTCTTCAAAACAACAAAGCCGATTATGGTAAAATACGACTATGGGGTAACGTCGGCCAAAGTTTTATCATCCCGTCTGTGTCACTACTCGTGTACTTCCTAAAAACGTCTGTATGCGGTACCAAAAAAGACAACTACAAAATGGCCATGTATATACTAGCTGGATGTTCGGGAATAGCTTTTCTCTTGGGATTCAAAATCATATTTCCCCCTACAATCTTGACTGATCATATTCGGGAAGCTGAAACCTCTAAAAAACAAGGATCTGTAGGAGAACTTGTTGTCCCTTTGGCAAACTGGAGCTTTCTGATCATTGTTTTCTTTTTGGGAACTTTTGAAGGTGTCTTCAACACTTTTATGTTTTGGTTAATCGTAGACCTAAATGAAGGCCAGTCTGCTCTCATTGTGGCCGTAGCAACCTTTCTCAGGAATGCAACAGCTTTTGTGACATTTGCAGCATCGTCGAGTGTCTTTCAAAAGTTTGGAGCAATCAATGCTATAAATATTTCTTTGGTTCTATATAGCGCTTCATTTCTAGTTTACAGTGTGATCACCAACCCATGGATTGCAATTATCCCAGAAGTTATTCAGTATGTCTCTTTTTCTCTGTCTATGGCGGCAAGTGTAACGTACATGGGTGAACGTGCTCCAGAGAATTTGGCTGCAACAGCGCAAGGTACCATAAACTTGAGTTTTCATTTTTTTATTCCTATTTAACTTGATTTTTTTCAGTTCAAACTCGTTAAATAATAAGATATCTTTAACGGCTCACTGATAATTCTAATTCGGTGGTCTCCGTAAGGGAGATTTCATTTTTGCCGGACGATTTGTTTACCTTTTAGGGATTCATCATCGATCTTTTGATCACAAGTAACCCAACAGCTTCAAAAGCTCACTATAGCTTACTTTAGGTGTTTTGTTCCTACCTTTTTTCAGGGATTGTCCAATTTATGTACTCCGGATTTGGACAAGGTGTTGGGCCGATAGTAGCTGGTCTGATTATACAGATGATAGGTACTCACTACACATTCCTTGCATTCGCTGTCATATCATTATTGGTACTGGGGTTTTCGGTAAGCGTCCAGTTAATTCTATGGAAGCGTGAAACGAAGTTGTACCAAAAAGTATCTACAGACGAGGACATAAAGTAGGCATGAGGCATCCGGATTCCGGGGTACCAGAGGGCGGGCGAGCGAAAGGGTGGCTTCGTGGTGGCTTCCTCCTTTCCTTCCTCTTTCTCTTTTCTCCCTACTTTCCTACGTTGCAGTCTGATACCCAACATAGATCGGATATGAAATGTGAACAGATAAATAGAAAAAAGATCTGAGGAAGATTGCTAAGGTAGCTGGGGTATTTGCGGTGCATTTCTTAAAAATTGTTGTAAGCTTTCACTGAGTAAGAAATTTATGACCTTCCTATTAGTCAACAAGGAACTTGCTTTCTTCAAAATAAAAAGGTTTGACCCTCCACAAAAGTTCAAATTTTTACTGTTGACGCTCTCCTCGAAAGCCCAATCCCCCCACGTGAATCAGTTAGTATTAAAGATATAACCATCCATATGTATCCGCTTTCTATTGGGTGTGAAAATAGGCACGTCAGATAACAATACTTTAACAGGACCCTGGTGGCAGAGTAGACTCGATTTTTAGCCCTTTACGGCTCCAAAATGAGGGGGTGGTCAATCTCCGAGATAAAAGATCAAAAATTTCTTTTAATGCTACCGTTTGTAATTATACTAGATAAGTATCACGAGGTGAAAATATCTTAAAAATCGGCCGACCCCCATCTTTTAACCCTGCCCGGTTTTCTCGGACAACGACTCTAAATTGTCCCCAGTAAGGTGACCCCATAGGACTACCAGTTTCTTGCATRATAAATATTACGAGAAAGCCCGTCAAGCCACGTACCTTATGACAAGTTTTCAGTATTTTCTGTTTCGTTCCTCAGATCCCCAGTCAATGTAGCACGTGCTTTTCTCGAAATTTGCTCGCTGACAGATTACACGTTTTCTTTCAGGACCAATATACCTTTTAACCCAGCGCTTCACTTTTAGTCTTCATACAATCAATCGCTCTAATCGCTAACACACCACCAACGCTAACTGACCCAACTTAAAACTGTTCCACCCCCTTGTTGACGTCATTTCACACAATTTCTCACTGATCTCACATTGCTGTTAAATACCTATCTTCACATCAATTCAGCTTCACTTTCCATAATGATGATCAGTCTAGTCTTTCTGTAAGTGCAAACAGACATTGTAATTTAGCTTATATACTACCCATCAACTAAAACATTTTAGTAATAGTTTATGTTTTAACATCCAGATTTCGTGTTTTTTAAAGTGTTCTATTGTAAAATTGAATATACACTTACCTACTTGATTCTATAAGGCATATTTAATCAGTTGAGAGGGTTGGCTTGATATTTTGATGCCTCATCAACAATATATATATCATGCTAAGGCAACCCACTTCCATTCTAAGCGTAATGTTCAATCCAAAACGTCGAGTTGAAAGTAAAATTCGTCGATTTCTTCAACGAGGGGAGGGGGGGTACTCCCATATTTGGACTATACGTGGATGATCCGCTGAACACGGTATGATTTTTCGAGCTTCTTATCATAAACAGGGTATGCAATTTCACTCGAGTTACAAGTTCTTCCTGAGTTTCCTGTCATATTCAGTGATTCTGCTTTCGTATTGACCGAAACTGGTTATTATGGTCGTAAAAAAACGATATGCGAGATGACATGATAATTAAAACAGGAACTCAGTGCGATAAATTATGTATTTTGTTATAAACAGGGTCCACAAATTTGAGGTTTTTTATCATAAACAGGGTACCCCTTTCARAAWCCC